AAACCACATTGTAGATTCAAACATTCAGGGAAGGGGCTTAAAAACATTCGAAAACCGATCAATGTCGTATATGTTGCAATACGTAATTTTTGACTGCTAATTTCCTGAAGTCTATCGACATAAGACGAAAGCATGAAAAAATAGTCTGCTTTGAATGAAAATGGTTTGCTAGCTACGGTCGGCGACGTCATTAGAGTCTTCGGTTTTTTATTACCTAGAAGGGTGTTTATAACACTCTTAAATCTACGTATCTTTTTTGTTGCAAAACTATGACTGCTATTTTTAGTTACGATTTTGTTGCGAGTTGCTTACATTTTTGGCAGTCGTAATAAGAACGTCAAAGGACATTGTTGACATGCAACAAATAGGACTAAGGCGATGGTGGATGGCAATAGTCAGTTAAAAATCTTCTAAAGATTTTATCAGTTATACTTAGAAACTTTATTCGTTTGTAGAGCGCTTTTCCCGAAAAGGTGCTTCACAAAGCCTCTCAAGTAACTTTGCTGTTGATCGTCCCGATTCGGACAGCTTGTTTCATCCATCCAGTTATGCTTTTGCTCGATAACGTTATGACCATTACCGTAGTTCTGATGACCACTATGCACTTTCTTTTCTACTGCAGGTAATAAAAAAAAATACTTCAAAGTAGGATATATTTTGGTAATTCACATGATTTACAGAGGAATGAGGTTTGTGGGTCCATTCGTGTTAATGGTCTACAAAATTATCGTGGGTGACATGCTGCGCTTTTTGCTGATTTACTCAGTTTTTATTCTCGGATTTGCGCAGGGTAAGTCAATTGTATTAAACTTGGCATAAGACAAGAAAAAGCAATGGACCTAGCGATTTGGGGTGCCAATGAAATGATTCCAAGTCTGCCTAACTATACTCTATGTGCATCTCAAAAGAAGATCGTAGCCTGTTTGAGTATAAGCTTTTACATCACTATGTATGGGATCCTAATTGGCGGAAGTAGAATTGTTGCAAATCTACCGCCTGGTTAATCCCATTTTGCAAATTGCAAACGATGAGCTTAGCCATTAACCATTCGTCACCAACGATCTCCCTTTCCTTTAACTTTCGGTAAAATGACTTCCAGCAGATAAGTTCCCACGACTCTCTAAATGAAAGATGTTGAGAGGAAAAGACTCTGAAAACTATGCAGCACAATGCGACTTCAAACCATGTTGACCTGATATATTCTTAGTTTCATAATTTTTAAAAACAGAAGTTAAAACCATTTTTTTTATTTCCAAGCATTAAAGAGTATATCAACGCAAATGTAAAACGCATTTTACTTTCTTGTCTTCAGCTTTCTACGTGATTTTTCATTCATGCGAAATGGCAGAAATAGAATATCGAAAGGAACATGGGTTGAGCAAAGATGATAACTACAAGGGGAAGTTAGTATTATACTTAGATGCACTCCCTTTTTAGGACACTTTTTTT